AGTGAGGTCGATGCATATAAGGAGTAGAAGAAGAAAGTTTTTATTTGATCTTGTGGGGAAAATTTTCAATTGTAGTAAGGGGGAAGTTTTGGGCGGTAAAGTGACAGAGCCAAAACGAAGTTAAATTTTGGGGAAAATTCAAAACCATTAGAATTTGTGTCGTTAAGGTATCAACCGACTCAAATTACTAAAAATTGTGTTGGTTAAAGTTGAAACCGACACCAATCCTTTGAAATCTGTGTCGGTTCAGTAACCGACACAAATATCCGACGCAACATAAAAATTTAGTGTCGGTTAACTGAACCGACACAAAACAACTGACACAAAATGTCTTTTTTCTTGTATTGTCTTCTTAGTCATGAGGAAGTTCTAAAACAAATGAACTCCCTTCAAGATAAGAAGAACAAATCTATTGCCTTTAAAACCATGAATACAGAAGGAGAAGAGAGACTAGTTGAGGAGTTTGAAAACGAGCTGGCTCTAGCTAGCAAAAAATTTCAAAGAATGATGAAGTTTAAACTAGATCAGAACTTAAAAAAAGGGAAGGTACAACCATAACTACTCTCCCAGATCCTCTGGAAATATGCTCAACCACTTCCCTAGATCATCTGGACACTACTCTGGAGGATCAAATGACAAAAATTCATTTGGATCCAACAGATAAGAGTCTAGTCCTAAAGATAACAAGAATCCTAATGATAAATCTGACTCCACCATCTGTTTCAAATGTTGAAAAACAGGTCATATAAGAGCTAATTGTCCTCTTAACAAAAAGAAAGAAAAAGCAATGACTGCTTCCTGGAGTGACTCCAGCTCATAAGAGGAATTTGATGTCATGGCTTACATGGGTTTAAACTCAAGCTTGGAAGATGATCAACCTGAAGATAAGGTATGGAGTGAATCCTCTTCCGATGGCATGTCTGATTCTCATGATGATGACTTCTTTCATCATGCTCTGTCTAATCTTCAGAATGAATGTAATTTACTAAAAAGCAAATTTTGTTTAACTGTAACTCAATTACATGAGAAGGTGAAGGAAATCAGCACTCTGAAAGAATTAGTCAAAGTTCAACAGGCTGCCATAAACACTCAGGACACTCAAGTTGGCAATCTCACTACTGAAAACTTAAATTTAAAAAGAAAAATTGACAACTGTCATAAGATTATCAACAAGAATGCCAGAATGCTCAATCTTAATCACAAATCTAATGGTTCTAGACTGTATTATAACACTCTGAACTTGAGACACCATGTTGATTATTGGAGATACCAGCCTTACTGCACTTTCTGCAGAAAATCTGGTCATGGAAATGAAAATTGTTTTTTCAGGAAAAACAAACCCAAACTTGTTTGGGTTGTTAAATCTTCTGACTAAGTTGTTTTTTTATTTCAGATTAATAAAGGAGCAAATATCTGGTACTTAGATTCTGGATGCTCCCATTACATGATTGGTAATAAAGACCTATTTACATTTCTTAATTCTAAAAAGGGAGGTAAAGTTTTCTATGGTAATAATAACTGCGCTTCTGTTGTTGGTAAGGGTACTATTAGTAGTAATTCTTCTCTCATAATTGAAGATGTTCTATATGTAGATGGCTTAAAACACAATCTTCTCTCTATTAGTCAAATTTGTGGATCAACTTATCGTGTAATATTTGATCTATTTAGTTGCATTATAGAACGAATCTCTGATAATACCTTGATCTTTAAGGGAAAGAAGATCAATAATGTTTATACTGTTGACCTATCCACCTTGGATCTCTCTGAAAACATTTGCCTCAGTTCCATATCTGATTCTGCTGTTAGCTAGCATAGAAAACTAGGTCATATGAGTATGTCACGCCTGACCAAACTGTCTAAATTAAATTTGGTCAGAGGTCTGCCTCTCATCAAAGCCTCTAATAATTTCACCTGTGAAGCCTGAATTCTAGGAAAGCATCACAAGAAATCATTCAAAAGTAAACAAAATGTTACATCTAAATCAACATTTGAACTGTTACACATGGATCTTTTCGGTCTCACTAATATTCAAAGTCTTGGTGGAAAATCCTATGTTCTGGTTATAGTTGATGACTTCTCCAGGTTCACCTAGGTGCACTTTCTTTCATCAAAGGATGAAGCCTTCTTAAAATTTAAGTCATTCATTATACTTATTCAAAAACAATATAGCTGTCATGTTAAGTCAATTAGAAGTGATAATGGTGGTGAATTCATCAATGATGAATTTAGCAATTTCTGTGATGAGTTAGGGATTCTTCACACTCTCTCTGCACCTCGAACTCCTCAACAAAATGGTGTTGTAGAGAGGAAAAATAGATCCCTTATTGAAACAGCTAGAACAATGCTGTTAGAATTTGATTGTCCCAAGTATCTTTGGGGAGAGGCAGTTAACACTGCTTGCTATGTCATAAATCGAACTACCATTATTAAATCTGTTAACAGAACACCTTATGAGATCCTAAAAGGAAAGACTCCCAAGCTTTCCTACCTTCACTCCTTTGGTTCAAAATGCTTTATATTAAACACAAAAGACTCTCTTGGGAAGTTTGACGCTAGGTCTAATGTTGGCATTTTCCTAGGATATTCATCTAAAGGGCAAGCATATAGAGTCTTTAATAAAAGATCTAGAAAGGTTGAAGAATCAGTGCACATTCGTTTTGACTCATCTCATCATTCCCTTCCCCTGTCATCTGACATTAATAACTATGATTTCTTGCCTCTAAGATCTTCCTGTGAGACAGATGGTACAGAAATCAGTAAGGATTCTCATGCTGTGAACCCAGACCATTCAGAAGCATCTTCAGCTGCTGGCTCAGCCTCTCAAGATGTGGCTCTCAATGAGAATCAAGAGGCCCCTGCCCACATCAGGAAAAGGCATCCTCCTTCACAGATCATAGATAACCTCTCTGATCCCATCCACACCAGAGGTAAGTACATCCCAGGTCAGTACGCTTTTGTTTTCCTATTTGAACCTAAAAAGTTTAAAGAAGCAATCCTAGATGAAGAATGGTTACTTGCCATGCAAGAGGAACTTTCTCATTTCATTAGACTAAACGTTTGGGAACTTGTCCCTAGACCTGTTGGAAACACTGTTATAGGTACTAAGTGGATTTTTCGAAACAAGTCAGATGAACTAGGTTTTATTATAAAAAACAAAGCTCGACTAGTTGCCCAAGGATACAATCAGGAGGAGGGCATAGACTATGATGAGACCTTTTCCCCTGTTGCTCGCCTAGAATCAATTAGACTTCTGTGTGCCTATGCCAGTTACATGAACATAAAACTGTTTCAAATGGACGTTAAAAGTGCATTTTTAAATGGTGAAATCAAGGAGGATGTATATGTTGAACAACCTCTTGGATTTACCGATAGTGAATTCCCTGATCATGTTTTCAAGCTATCAAAAGCTCTGTATGGCCTTAAACAAGCTCCCAGAGCTTGGTTTGAAAAACTGACTTCATTTTTAATTTCACAAGGCTTTTGTCAAGGCGGTGTTGATAAAACACTCTTTATTAAAAGACAGAATAATCACTCCTTGATTGTCCAAGTTTATGTGGATGATATTGTCTTTGATAGCACTAATACAAGTATGTGTGAGGAATTCTGCACAACAATGCAAAATAAGTTTGAAATGAGCTTAATGGGAGAACTTAACTTCTTTCTTGGTCTGCAAATCCATCAATCTAATCTAGGGATATTTATCCATCAAACTAAATATCTTCAATCCATGCTTTCCAAATTTGATCTGTTAAATGTCAATCCGAGCAAAACTCCTATAGCCTCCAATACTCACTTAGATTATGACATAAATGGGCAACCTGACATCCAATCTCATCTCGTCAAGATCCCTAAGACGCGTCTTCGCCTCCATTCGCCATCATCAAAATCGAAATAGTCAAATGCAGAAGCTCTGCTGGACAATCGTGCATCAGCTCTCTTCTTTGATTACTAACTGTAAAGAGCATTGAAGAAGAAAGAGACAGAGGAATGAAGTTGCAATTTGCCTATATAAATACCACTCCTGTCAATGGGAAGGATGACAGTTTCCTTGACTCAGTAAGAACAGGTTGGTTCTTTGGGAGTCTCTGGATTGGGTTCGGTGTTTGTGTCTGGATAGTTTAAGTTGGGGCTTGCAGCCAGGAACTCAAACTTATCTGGGCGTGGCTTCTGCTAGTGCTTTCTTTCCCTTTAATTCGGTCCTTGATTTGGTTTTGTTTCCGTTCCTAGAACCCTGAATTTGAGTCTATTAGGTTATCGAATACGCTTCCTTGCTTAAACAAGATCATTCTCTTGATTCAATAGAATCTTTGTCTCAATCTTTTGATTACCTTAGCTGTGGAAATGGAATTGGCCACATAGCGTTTTAACAGTCATTTCTTGAAAACAAACAGCAAACAACTGCATACCATAGTCAGCAACTATGGCGAAATGGTTTGACTTATATACTACACAAATACAAAATTTGGTTTCGTGCTAGAGGATCCTTTAAGAAAGTAATTGATGACTGTGTAAGGTACACTATCAGCCATCATGATCACGGACTTCATTCTCGTAAAGGGAGAGGGTTGTTGTTCCAGAAACTCGGACATCTCACTCAGTACCTACACAGAACAATAGCCAACTTAGCTGCAAAGGTAGATTTCCAATTGAAGGGAACACTAAGGTTACCAAAAGATTACCTCGACGTTATAGGGACCCAACGTGAGAGATACTGCATTTTTATATTTTGGAACAAGGAGATTAAATATTTCCTCACACACTCCTTGTCTTCCTCCAAGGAAAAGTTTATGTCAGTTGCCCGGATATCAACATGATCGAGGGAAGGAACACTTAACTTGGTAAATTGCAGATATTCCAACTCCTGAAAAAGACTCAAGGATTCGACTCTTGGAGCAGATATTTCCATGTCCGAACATACCATACCATCCAATTCCAGGCTAAGCAATTGGGGTCCAGATATCTTAATTTCACCAAGGTGCATGCAATGAGCAAGGACCAACTTATTCAGACAGGGAAACTTCGAGAAAGGATCGAAGTCCTCGAGCAGAGAAGAAGATAAGAAACAATCTTCCAAATGTAAAAGTTGTCAGCAAACTGAAGCCACAAGCTACAAATGCGTCATCAATCCAGACAACTCTTATTTTCAACGTCTTGAGATTACAATTGGAGATTGTGCCAAACAACTCGGAGAATTCGTAATTCTCATCAATATGAGTATTCAAGGCATGCAAGTCAATTTCCAAATGCTGAGTATCATGAGATAAGGCATACTTGATGACCTTGTCAAACAGACTGAAATCTACATCCTCCGAGTCATCATTATCAATGTAGCTTATCTTGGTCACATTAAAGGGACCACGGCGGGACAAAACATTCTCTACATATCTCGGGAACCTCGAGTACTCTTGAAAGGAATCACTGTAATCGGTATCGAGGAAGAAGGAATTTAGGGTTCAAGGGAAATGGAACGGAACAGACAGGGACGAGAACGACTGGGAAGAGGAAGAGTGTCTCGGACACTGTTCGATCTCGTCTTATATCTGGGCCCAAGTATACCAGGCCCACGTTCCAATCCTAACTTGTTGCAGCCAAGACTAATATGCAAACTTAAGGCCCAGTCTCGTTTATACAAGGATTCCAAAGGGAATTCCTTCTTTGCAATAAACAGAGCACAGAGACACAGCAAGGAGAAACAGAGGAAGAACATAGACTTGAACACAGTGATTCGAAGCACGAGAGAAGAGCAGGGAAAGGAATGACACACGATATTTTTAAAGTGGTTCGCCCAAGTGCAATGGTTTACTTCCACGTCCCATAATATGGTCTGGGAGACCTTTATTATTTTGCAGTTTTTGACAATCCAAAGAAAGAACAAAAACACACAACGAAATTGCAGAATGATAAAGAAAAATCGATAGCCCAGATCAATCTTGATCTGATCAGCCTTGACACACTCAGATCCTCTACCCCTATGTATGCCAAACCCCTTTTGTAATTTCCAAGCTTTAAGCCCTTTACCGCTAACAAGCTTCCACAAAAGTGAGTCCCACGAGCAACCATCAAGAGATATTTATACCGAGAGCGCAGCTAGCCGTTAGGATACGAAGAAGGAAACTCTCAAATCAGCTAGCCGTTTCCTTTGATACTACTGAGAGGTGCAATGGACAAAAAGAGGCAATCTTCATACTTGCCAAACTCAACAATCTCCCCCTAAGTTGGAGATTGCCGATTGACTTTTCCCTGCATATAAACCAAAAGACTATCCACACAAACTGCAGTAAAAAGAAGATCACCAAAACAGAAATATAAAGGCCAGCTGAGAAGTAAAACATAACATGAATCCTTCTTGACCAAGAAAACTCAAATTCATTGAGCAGAACAAATAAACCAGATAGGACATTCGATAAAGAACTCCCCCTGAGTTCAGGACAACTCTACGAACATCAACTCTCAAATCAAGACTCAAATAAAATCAAGGATCAGAGCTGTCACTAGATGACACAGCATCTGTCTTAAGTGCAACAGGAGAGTCTGATTCAGAATTAGAGCCATACAGGTCTTGAAGGGCAACTGCAAAGGATGGTAAGGGGACAGGGGCTTCTTCTTCAGGAGCATCTCTAGCTTCAACCTCTCCATCTTCCTCGGAATCACTGCTGAGCCAATGTATAAGGGACTCTCCCCCTCAATCGCAATCCCAATCTCCTCCAAAACATCATTTGCAGTGAGCCAAAGCGAAGGAGATTCAGTACCATAGGCCGAGAGATTTAAAGGCAGAGCAAGCAATAGGCGAGTGATAATAGCAGATGACAAAAAAGACAGGCAGAAGTGACGAAATCCTTCTGACGACACTGTTTTTTTGTTGGAAATAAACTTTTTTGTGACAAATATTTGTCGTCCTCATAAAAACATAAAATATTTGTGATGAACATCAAAAGTCGTCAATAAAGCCCAAAACATTTGTCACTAAAACTCAAAATCGCAAATACGAGGAACACCATCTCAATTTTACTGAGGACATTTCAAATTTTGTCACAAATAGAAATTATTTATGACCAAATTGAAATAGGCGTTAGAAATAATCTGTTTTTCTGACGCCAAAAAAGGAGGGGAAAATTCCTGAATTTTATTTTCGAGGACACAAATTTTTCATAAGAAAATATTGTTGGAAATAGTATTATTTGTTAGGAATTTCCCTGTCTCTCAGAAAAACAAAACATTTTTATGAGGGAACGTATTTGGTCGTCGATAGAAGTTTGTTAGAGAAGTGGTTGGACAAAATGGTCATCACAAATGATTATTTCGTTGAAAAAACTTCTTGAGGAAAACACTTTCTGTGAAGATTTTAGATGTCGTCAATAATATGCAAACAATCTCGTCACATATAGAACATTATTGACAAATTTCGCTTGTCAGAAACATTTCGTTACATATGAACAAAGTCTTAGTTTTAAGAGATGAAATTAAAATTAACCTTAAAGAAAAGGTCATGGATGTACTCGAACCATGGATCACTTGTTCACAAAACAAAGTCTAGATTAGTTAGACTAATTACATTTTATGTTAAATTCATGTTTCGTTGAGTATTTATTCCTAACCAAAATCTATAAGCATAAGAGTAAGGCTGGCAGTACGATTTCCGGTTAGCGGATAACCGTCGGTTACAACCGAACCGTCCGATTTTTGGCTAACCGAAAACCGAGACTAAAATTAATTCGGTCGGTGCACGGAGGAGAATAAAAAGCTTCGGATAACCGAGTAACCGACGATTATTAACCGTAGTTATCCGAAAAAACCGACCAACCCTCATATATTGCCCTCCCAGCAAAAAAAACCACATATAAAACCCATAACCCCACTCTGAAACCCTATAATCCCCTCATTAGACCCTCACGAGTCACGACCGCCGCCCAGCTCCCTTCCTCGTCGCCTCACGGCCTCCGCCTTCCTCCGTTCCTCGCCGCCATGCAGATCCTTCCTCGTCGTGTCGCACCCGTCCAGATCCCTTCCTCGCTGCTGCCCAGATCCCGTCCTCATCGCGTCGCCTCACCTCGCGCCGCCGCCTCCATCCTTCCTCTATCCCGTCCATCCGTCATCGCCGTCGCTGTCCCCTATTGATTAGACCTTAATAAACAGTAACATCAAAACCTCTCTTTTAAATATATAAATAAATAAATATAATAATAATTTACTGACAAAGAAACAAAGTCACTACCACAAATCAATGTGTGGAAAAAAGGATGTCTCCATCACATTATAAAATGTGGGGAAGTGAATTCAAACCCCTTGTAGTTCGTTCTTTTTTGTTTTAATTGTGATTTTTTTAAAACGCTCCACTAACCGTGATTTTTGTATCAAGGATTTTATTGAGAAAAAATATATATGAATCGATAATGATAGGGTTACATAAAGAATAATACATTGGATTTAATCATGAAGAAGGATTTGACATATTAAAAATGAAAGGAGTTAACTTTTACTCAACAATTTTCTTTTTCAAAACTTTGTATTAAGTATGTTTAATGAATAAAATAAGATGGATACACACTCAAACAATTATTGTCGAGTAGCCCAACTGAACAAGTGACTAAACCTACTTGGGCACAGGCAAGGCCCAATCAAGTCCAGGAAACCATATATAAACAACATTCGGAACCAACCTAGCCATTCTAACCCTAAATGGCAGCCGTCAACCTCCCTTCTCTCCTTTCGTTCTCTCTTCTTTCTTATTGCTACTTGAGAAACGAATCCAAATGCAAAAGGTCCTCTCAATCTACTCTTCCCTTTCTCGACCTAATCCTTCACCCATCAAACGGCGACGATGATGAAGAAATCAAAGATCCGGTAAGCTTCCATATACATGCATGCCTATTCTGCAGTTCAATTCTGAGTTTGATTTATGTTTGGCTTTTTTTTATAGCGCTCCGAGTGCAACAACCGGCGATGAGATTTTAGCAGTCTCTGTCGGATGGAGAAGAGGTATTGTCGTGAAGGAGAGCTGGACAGCAGCGAAGGCTATGGAGCCTCGAACCTTTTTCTAGCCGCCATTAACGGAGCAGAGAGCAGCGAGAAAACAGAAGTCATCTCCCTCCGTGCCCTGTTTTGGACTCCTCAGCGGACCAGAGAAAGCATATCCAAAAAGAGACCTCTACCGCCGCGATTCAACCTCTTTGTCGAGCAACGCTCACTGCCTTCGTTAATGTCATCCTAACGATTGAAATTGTAATTTTTTGTTAATTTTTATTTTTTTGTGTTATGTCATTTGTTTCTTGGATTGGATTGAGGTGTTTTGTTCTTGAGGGTTATGTGGGTGAGTGAAAGGAGGCCGATGTTGCCGATGCGACTTTTGGAGTTCCACTTCCGAGTATGGGTTTGCTTTTGCGTTTCCACAGTTTTCATGTAAGATATATTTTATGGCTAGGCCACATATTTAATTTATGCAGTATTCTTCTTTCTTAATATTATACAGTATGATTTATTTTAATTATTTTATATATTTTTCAACCATAACATTTCATTGGAAATTTGTAGGAGTTCTCCATTCATGAGGACTTTTACTTGTCGGAAATAACAAAAGGATATTTTGGGAACAAAATTTTTTGTCAAATTATACAACCTTTTCTTACAATAAACAAATCATCACAAAAACACATAAGGGTATTTTGGGGATGGAAATTTCAAAGTGTTATTAACAAAAAAAAAATTTGCTTACAAAAAACTATTCTCACAAATACTTAAACTGACAAAATAATTTCCTTAGAAATTTTATTTTTCTCTCTCACAAAAACTTTTCGTCAAGTTTTTTTCCTCGAGGGTATTTCTTTTCTGACAACGATAAATTGGGTTTTGAGGAAAATTTATCTTCACAAAAAAAAATTTTATGACACCAATTTTTTTTAGACTATTACCCACGGACCTTTACCCCACGACTCGCTAACGACCGTATTTCGTCAGAATAAACTTTTAGTGACGAGAAAAGGCCTTTTGTGACGCCAATCGTCTGGTAACATCTGCCAATCTTTTTTGTAGTGAGGAGCAACAGCATGTGCCAAGATCCAAAAATCCAAAGGAAGAACTCGATCGAGAAAGATCGAACGAGGCAGAAATACTCTGGTGAGAATGTGATGAAAGGCTTTCAGAGAGGGAGGTAAGAGACCAGTAGAGAAGGTATTATCTTGATCAGGTTCATGACCAGTGAGATGAACAGCCTCAGTAGTGATATCGAAGTTAAAAAGAGGAAATTCATCAGGATGGGCCAGAGCTTCTCCAAAAGCAGGAATATTTAGGAGACGACTGATGTCAGTAAGAGGAAGGGTCATCATATGACCATGAACCAGAGAACTAATGGTACGAGTTTGGAGACCAAAATACCTCATATTGGAGAAGAATACCCTAACTGCCTCAGGACAGATGAGAGAGGAGG